TTCCCTCCTTCCTTCCCTCCTTTCTTCTCTCCTTCCTTCCCTCCTACCAGAAGGATTTTATCACATCCTTCTTTTCTCCAGACTGGCCAAACCCAAATCCTGCGACCGTTCTTTGTATGTTTTAATCTCTAGTCCTTTAATCCAGTGGTCTCCAACCTTGGTAACTTTAAGACTTGTGGACTTCAACTCCCAGAGTTCCTCAGCCAGCTTTGCTTGGCTGAGGAACTCTGGGAGTTGAAGTCCACAAGTCTTAAAAATTGCCAAGGCTGGAGACCATTGCTTTAAATACTCTTAGTTGCTCTTCTCCACACTTTTCCCAAAGTCTCAACCTCTTGGCGACCACAACTGGCTGCAGTAATCCAGGTGAGGCCTTAACTAAAGGTTTACAAAGCGGTACTACTCCTTCCTTTGAACCTCAGTTGTACCCATCTGTGATATGGCCCCGTATGTGGCGTGGGTCTTTTTAAGATTCATCATCATTTGACCCCATAATCCCTTGCGGGATGGAGTCCAGGCAACCCGGATGGAGCTAGCAGAGTGTTTACTGGCCGGGTGCCCTTCCTTTCGCCCGTGCGGAATAATATTCCGCAGATTATGTTCTAAACGGGACCAGAGAGAGAGAAATATCTGCCTCTCCCTAGGATTGAATTCATATTGTGAGGTGAGAGCGCCACCTCTAGGCCGCCCCAACCACTTGAATAGGTAAAGATTTATTCTTGCTGAATTTATCCTGGATTTGACCCGTTTTACGACCTGGCTGTCCCCGCCCCGTTATTAAATGAATCACCCAGCGGTTAAGTTCGGCCCTTGTTCGTTAAGCGAATTGGGCTTTCCTTGGACTGTGCTTTATCAGAAGGTCACGAAAGGAGGATCACCTGACCCCCCGTGACCCCCCACAACCGTCGTAAATACAAGTCAGTCGCAATTTTGACCACAGGGACAATGCAGCCGGCATCAGCGTGACCAAGGGCCCTATGTTCCTTTTCCCACAGTCGCTAAATGGATAGTTGTAAATCGAGGACTTCCTATACACTCAGCTCTAGGTTTTTTTCACTTCGAATGGTCACTAAACGGATTGTCGTAAATCGAGGACAACCACCAGTGTATGCATGGGCCCTTGGATATCCTCTCTCACTCTTTCTTGATTTTAAAACCTTTCTTGGAGAGTTGTGGCACAATAGTCCTGCTTTCCGGAACGTATTTGACTGACTGACTGAAAATTTATCTCCTCTCCTTCCCTCCCCACCCAGGAACTGGATCATTTCGGTCTGCCAGAGATGTTCTCCCTGAATTCATGTAGAAGAGGTAAGAGTTCGTTCGAGCCAGAAGCGTGTAAAAATCCTTAGAATAGAAGGGACCTCGGAGGTCTTCCAGTCCAACCCCCTGCTCAAGCTGGAGATCTTACAGAATTATGGAATAATAACAGAGTTGGAAGGGCCCTCAGTGGTCATCTAGTCCAGCCCCCTGCTCAAGCAGGAGACCTATACCATTTCACACAAGTGCCTGTCCAATCTCTTCTTAAAAGCCTCCACAAGAGCCAAGGTGGCGCAGTGGTTAAATGCAGCACTGCAGGCTACTGCTAGATCAGCAGTTCAGCGGTTCAAATCTCACCGGCTCAGGGTTGACTCAGCCTTCCATCCTTCCGAGGTGGGTAAAATGAGGACCCAGATTGTTGGGGGCAATATGCTGACTCTCTGTAAACCGCTTAGAGAGGGCTGAAAGCCCTATGAAGCGGTATATAAGTCTACTGCTATTGCTATTGCTATTGCTGATGGATCACCCAATGGCAAGTCGCTCTGGTGGCAAGTCGTTCCACTGGCTAATGGCAAGTTTTGGGAATTTTTGACGTCCCTGACGCCAATCCTAAATGGAAAGCGATTGGAATGCTTCAGGATCAAGGTTGAGATTTTCACATGCTGTTTAGTGGGTTGGATTGCAATTCCCATCGCCCCTAGCTAGCCTTCTCAGAATTGCAGACTGGCAGATATGAAGCTCAACCCATCAATTTGTATTGCCTTAGAACAGAGGTCCCCAAACTTGGGAACTTTAAGACTTGTGGACTTTAACTCCCAGAATTCTCCAGCCAGCTCTGCAGAGCTGGCTGGAGAATTCTGGGAGTTGAAGTCCACAAGCCTTAAAGTTGCCAAGTTTGGGGACCTCTGCCTCAGAATGAGGTTTCCCAACGTTTAAGACTTCAACTCCCAGAATTCCCAAGCCAGACAATGACTGCCCGGTCCTTGATTTCTGACCTTGGGGTTTTTTCTTGCAGACGTCTCATGACCCTACTAGGGAATGTCATCAGTAATGCGAAGGAAGGAATATAGATAGATAGTGGAGTCCTTGGTGCTCTCTGAGCTAGGTGGTTTTTTTGCAGACGTCTCATGACCCTACTAGGGAATGTCATCAGTAATGCGAAGGAAGGAATATAGATAGATAGTGGAGTCCTTGGTGCTCTCTGAGCTAGGTGGTTTTTTTGCAGACGTCTCATGACCCATCTAGGCTACAACATCCTCCCTTCTGGGCCTAATGAGGTTCCCCAGCGTTAAAGGGCTCCCTGCATTGAGTTATTGCGGCTCTTGCGGCAGCGCTGAAAAGCCTGTCCGACTGGAGCCGCGAGGGGGCACCCTTCCCTTCGTCTCCTTCCTTGCGGACGCTCTGGCCATATTCTCACTTCCCCTGGAGTTCCTCACTTTGTCGTGCGCCGCGGGGGGGCGCTGGTCTCTCGTCGCAGACTCTCTGGCCGAGCTCTCCCTTCTCCCGTCTAATTTGAGCTCTCCCTGGCTCCGCGCTAGGGCGCTCCCTCTCATCTCCCCCGCTGCCGATTCTGGCCGCTTTCTCCCTGCCCTCCGGAGCCGCTCCCTCTCATCGCTATCGCCCGTTGCGGACGCTCTAGCTGCTCTTTCTCTCTCTCGCCTGCCATTCGGCCTGGCGACGCGCGGGGGCGCTCCCTCCCCTTCGCGGGCCTTCTGGCCGAGCCCCGCCTATCGTAGCCGCTTCCTGTCATCAACCCGTCCGCGGACGTTCTGCCGGCGTTTCGTCTCCCCCCTCTTCCGTCCTGCGCTCCGCCTGGCACCGCTTGGGGGCGCTCCCTCTCACCTCCGCCGCGGACGCTCCGGCCGCGCTTTCCCTGCCCGCCGGAGCGTCTTCCTCTCGTCTCCTTCCTCGCGCGACGCTCTGGCCTCCCTCTCGCTGCCCCCGGCTCCTTCGTTCTCCGCATGGCGGTCCCTTGCCGGCTCTTGCGGGGGCTCCTGCGCGGCGGAGGCTTCACGGGAGCCCCCGGCCTGGTGGGCCCTTGGCGGTCCCGCTGCTACACCCGCGTGGCCGGGCCGGAGGAAGCGGAGGAAGGGATCCGGGAAGCAGAGGTGGGCCGGGAGGGCGAGGAAGGCGCCAGCCTCCGGATCTGCCCCCCGAAGCTGCCCCGGGGTAAGTGGGGAAGGGTCCCCAGGGGGGGAAGGGAGGGGGGAGGTATCCCCGGGGTAAGTGATGGGGGGTCTCGTTCTCTCCCTTTGGGGGCCAGGATCGAGGGGGGATCTGTGCCCAGAGACTCTGGGGAAAAGAGGGGGCGGTAGGTGTGGGGAGGGGGGCTCCCAAGCAGCCCCTTTCGGCTGAGTTGGGGGGATTTTGACCGCCATTAATGGGTTGTGGGGCTTTAAGGCCTGCTGGGAACTGTCCCCCCCCCCCCCGCCCACCTCAGCTGTGTGGCCTTCAGCACTTTGGCCATTGACCTTGCACAGCCGTTGGGGAGACTGTGATCTTCCAATCCCCCTCCCTTCCAGCACTGATGATGTTCCCTAGTTGGGTCAAGAGATGTCTGCAAGGAAACAACCTAGCTCAGAGAGCACTAAGGACCTCACAATCCCCCTTCCTCCTCCTCTTCATTTTCTTCTCCCTCTCTAGAAACTCCCCTCCCTTCTAGCACTGATGATGTTCCCTAGTTGGGTCAAGAGATGTCTGCAAGGAAACAACCCAGCTCAGAGAACACAAGGACCTCACCTTCCCTCCCCCTCCTCCTCTTCTTCTTCGTCGTCTTCTTCCTCTCTAGAAACTCCCCTCTCTTCTAGCACTGATGATGTTCCCTAGTTGGGTCATGAGATGTCTGCAAGGAAACCACCCAGCTCAGAGAGCACCAAGGACCACACAATCCCTCCCCCTCCTCCTCTTCTTCTTCCTCATTTTCTTCTTCCTTTCTAGAAACTCCCCTCCCTTCTAGCACTGAGAGTGTTCCCTAGTGGGGTCATGAGACATCTGCAACAAAGCACCGAAGCGCAGAGAGAACCAAGGAACCCAGAGTCCTCCCTCTTAGCACTGATGATGTTCCCTAGTTGGGTCATGAGACGTCTGCAAGGAAACAACACAGCTCAGAGAACACTTAAGGACCTCACAATCCCTCCCCCTCCTCCTCCTCTTCTTCTTCATTTTCTTCCTCCTCCTCCTCCTCTCTAGAAACTCCCCTCCCTCCTAGCACTGATGATGTTCCCTAGTTGGGGTCATGAGACGTCTGCAAGGAAACAACCTAGCTCAGAAAACATCAATCACCCCCACAGTCCTTCCTTCCTTCCCTACTCACTCACTCACTCACTTCTCCCCTTCCTCCTCCTCGCCTCCAAAAACTCCATTCTTCCACCACTGAGCATGTTACCTAGCTAGATCATGAAATGTCTGCAAGAAAGCCCCCCACCTCCGAGATTATTAAGACCCCACAGTCTCTCCTTCTCCTTCCCACCTTTTCTTCCTCTTCACAAACCCCCACTCCTTCTAGCCCTGATGACGTTCTCTAGTTGGGTCCCAAAACCTCTGCAAGGAAAACACACACACATACACACACCAACCTTGCTTAACAAAGGACATCCTGAGTTTCTGCAGCCGGTTTCCACTTCTGGAATGCTGGAAGATTGCGTTGCCAAGCGGAGGAAAAAACTACCCCATTGCGGTACATTTCCGATCGACGGGTTGTCAGGTTCCATTCACAACCTCCTTGTCCTGTTTTTACGGCAGAAACCAGAGATTTGCTGAAGGAATTCCCGCAGCCGAAAAACCTTCTCAACAGCGTCATCGGACGAGCCCTCGGTATTTCCCATGCCAGAGACAAATTAATCTACATCCATTCCAACGGGCCGCGAAAAAAGGTATGGTTTTTTTTTAAAAAAAAAAATTCAATTTGACTTTCCTTTTTTTCCCTTTAAAAAAAGGAAATTTAACCAAGGTGCAAAGCCCTGGTTAGATTTCCTATCTGCAGAAACCCAAGAATCCAGGTAGTCCTTAACTTACGATGGTTCACTTCGTGACCAAAGTTAGAGGCACGGGGAAAAGAATTAAAATTCTTGTCAGTTTTTGAGACTTCGGTGTTCCTGCGGTCGAGGAATCGAAATTCCGATGCTTGGCAACCAACTCGTCTTTACGACCATCAGAGCATCCCGGGGTGGGATGGGGGGGGGGGAATCCTGTGATCCCCATTTCACAACCTCCTGATGAGTAAAGGCCCCGGGTGGGAAGCCAGATTCACTTTCACGACCTTGTTTCAAAGAGGAAGACGCCAATTGAGACAGCAATTTATTTTGTTGAGTCAGAAATTTGTTTGGTGAGTCTTTTTACGACTTTCCTGGCCACCTTTGTTAAATGGCAAAAGGTCGTTAAGTGAATCTGGTTTTCCCTTTGCTTGTCTGAAGGTTGCAAAATGGGGATGTGTTGATCCCAGGACGTTACATCCGTCGTGCATATCAGTCGGTTGTCGAGCATCCGAATGTAAATCACGTGACATGGAAACAGTTGTGTTAATCCCTTTTTTTCCAGGGACATAACTTGGAATAGTCACTAAATGAACTGTTGTAAGTTGAGTACTATCTGTATTGACAGTGATTCAATTAATCGTGGCAAGAAAGGCCTTAAAATAAGGCTCTTTTAACACGGATTAACGACTGCGGTGTGCAACCTCCATTAAAGTCATAAGCCGAGGATGAACTGCTTTGTAATTTGAGTGCTTTCTGTAATGACTTAATGACCGCAATGGGGAGACTCCCATGATGGTCATAAATCAAGGATGAACGGGTTTGCTTGACCGCTTTCTGTCGTGAATTAATGACAAGTGGGGGGGACTAAAGGTAGTTTCCTTAACAATTTTCCATCACGACTTAACAACTGCAATTGGGGAAGCATCCATTGTTGTCCTAAGACAGTGTGTCTCTCAACCTTGGCGACTTTTAAGTCCTGTGGACTTCAACTCCCAGAATCCCCTCAGCCAGCTGGGCTTGAAGTGGGCAGGACTTAAAAGTCGCCAAGGTTGAGAGACGCTGTCCTAACTGGAGGATGGACGGATACTTTTGCTCGACCGCTTTTCTCTGACGACGTAACGACTGCAATGTGGCGCTTCCGTTATGGTTGTAACTCAACAATGTACAGTAGTTTGCTTGGCGGTTTCCGGTGCCCCGCTTAGCGACCGCAACGGGGAGGTTCCGTCGCGGTCGTAAGCGGAGGGCAAATGATTCAGGCCTGGCTCTTCCTCTCCCCCCCCAGAAAGTCACGCTGCTCATCAAGTGGCCCAAAAATGTGGAAGTGGAAGGCTATGGGACCAAGAAGATTGACGCGGAGAGACAGGCGGCCGCCGCCGCTTGCCAGCTCTTCAAGGTGGGAATTTCGGGGTGGGTTTTGCACCCACACCCCTTCTAGGAGGGGGGTCAAGGTCTTTCCTTTTAGCGGCACTCGAAGGTCGCGGGAACAATTAACAACGGAAAGGATCCCAACGGGCCACCGTTGTGTGGTTTCATTTCCTCGCGGACGTCTCATGACCCAGTTAGGGAACATCATCCCTGTGAGGAGGAGGAGGGAGGAGGAGGAGACTGTTGTTTGTTTAGGAAACGCCTGCAAGGAAACCACAGTCCTCCTCCTCCTCCTCCTCTCAATCCTTCCTCCTTTCTAACACTGATGGTGTTTCCTAGTCGGGTCATGAGACGTCTGCAAGAAAACTGCCAAGTTAAGAGAGCACCCCACAGTCCTTCCTCCTTCTTCCTCCTCCTCCTCCTCCTGCAAGCCTCCCTCCCTTGTAATACTGATGATGTTCCGTAGTTGGATCATGAGATGTCTGCAAAAAAATCACCAAGCAGAGAACATCGATCATCGATCATCGTCCCTCCTCCTCATCTTTCTCCTCTTCCCCGCAAACTCCTCCTCCCTTCTAGCACTGATGTTGTTCCCTAGTTGGGTCACGAAACGTCTGCAAGAAAACCACCAAACTCAAAGAGAACCCAGGACCTAGAAGCTTATGTCCACCTAGCTTGTCCTCTGTTGTGCCGTCCAAAGTAATTTCTTTCATTCCTCCCTCTTTCTTTCCCTCCTTTCTTTCTCTCTCTCCTTTCTTTCTTTCTCTCCCTTTCCTTCTCCCTCTTCCTTTCTCCCCCCTTTCTCCTTCCCTCCTTCCTTTCTTTCTTTCTCTCTCTCCCTCTTCCTTTCTCCTCCCTTTCTCCTTCCCTCCCTCCTTTCTCTCTCCCCCTCTTCCCTCTCCCTCTTCCTTTCTCCCCCCTTTCTCCTTTCCTCCCTCCTTTCTGTCCCTCCATCTTCCTTCCCTCCTTTCTTTCTTTCTCTCCCTCCTTCCCTCCCTTCTTTCTCTCCCTCCTTCCCTCCTTTCTTTCTCTCCCACCCTTTTCTTCTCCCTCTTTCTTTCTCCCCCTTTCTCCTTCCCTCCCTCCTTTGTTTCTCTCCCTCCATCTTTCTTTCTTTCTCTCCCACTCTTTCCTTCGCCCTCTTCCTTTCTTCCCCCTTTCTCCTTCCCTCCCTCCTTTCTTTCTCTCTCTCCCTCCATCTTCCCTACTTTCTTTCTCTCACCCCCTCTTCCCTCTCCCTCTTCCTTTCTCCCACCTTTCTTTCTCTCCCTCCTTTCTCTCTTCCTCTTCCTTTCTCTCCCCTTTTCCCTTCTTTCCCTCCCTCTTTCTTTTGCCTACCCCACTCCAGGGATGGGGGCTGCTGGGACCCCGAAACGAGCTCTTTGACGCCGCCAAGTACCGGATTCTGGCCGAGCAGCTGGGCTGCGCCGAGAAGAAGTGGTTTGCCGAAAGCCACTGGCGCTCCAAATCCGGCCCTTCCCTGGCCGACCTCTCGACCTGCTGGCGACGGATGGAGCCCGAAGACCCTGTGCAGCCCCTGGAGCACAGCCCCCTCCCCAAGCCCCTCCGAAGTGAAGAGCTGGAGGAGGGGGAGCTGGAGGAAGGGGAGCTGGAGGAGGGGGAGCTGGAAGAAGACGGCATCGACCTGCACAACGGCCTCTCCATGGGGCGGCCAGGTGCTCAGACCCCACCCAGGGACCTCAGGTAACGGCCTCGGTGCTCTCCGCCTGTCTGTTGAGTTTCCGCCTCTTGTCACCCAACCTCCTTGCTGGGTGCATCTTCTGAGCAGGCTCAAGTTTGGGGTTCCTTCACCTGGAAACACCCGTCAGAAAAGATTTCTGGGAGTTGGAGTCCTCTCCTCTTAAAGCATAGCCAACTGGGGGATTCTGGGAGTTGGAGTCCTCCCCTCCTAAAGTATCCCGGCTGGGGATTCTGGGAGCGGAAGTCCTTCCCTCTGAAACCTTACAAACCCGGGAGAATTCTGGGAGTTGAAGTCGCACCTGCTTAAACCTTCGATCCCGAGAAGCCGACAATCTCACTGCAAGGCATCCTTAATCCCCCCCCCCTGGGGAACATTCTAGAATACCCGGCAACTCCTGCTGGACAATTGTGATGCAACATGAGCAGGCCTGACCCTGCTTGGAGAGGACGATGGGCCTGATTGGGAAGGGGCTGGATGATAGTCCATCGTCCCCCGCGCCTATCAAATGTGGGTCGCTCAGCGAGGACTGTTGATCCTCCGTTTGTGGGTTGAAGGAAGAACCAGAACGGGGGGTTGGAGAGAAGGAAGGAGTTGTGGGTTTTTTGCGGGGTGGCACAGGAGAAAGGTCTTCGGTTGGGTGGTGGGCACAGCCTCATGGGCCTCCAGGCCTCAACCTTCCGTCATAGAGCCAGTCCTCGACTTACGGCCCAGTCGACCTCATTTACCTCCCTGTCGGCAAATGAGACGGGTGAGTTGTGCCGCCTTCTCCTTCGCCCAGTGAATCCCCGCGGTTGTTAAGTGAGTCACACAGTTGTCAAATGAATGGTCGCAACGGGGGATCATGTGTCTCTAGGAAGCTGCACAACCGTCATAAATATGAGTCAGTGCCAAACGTTGGAGTTCCGATCATGTGACCATGGGGGTCACCGTCATACGTGTGAAAATTGGTCATTTCACCTTTTCCAGTGTGAAAAATGGTGATAACTCATTTTCTTAGTGTGAATAATCGTTCTAAGTCACTTTTCAATGAAAATCAACTCTGAGTAACTATACTAACTTCTTGTAGTTGACTTGTGAGTAGGATGCGAGGATTTTAATAGAGATAGTCCTTGACTTACAACCATTCATTGATGGCCCTGAAACAAGTTGTCTTGGACTTTTTTCCCCACACTTACGACCGTTGCAGCGTCCCCTGGGTCTCACGTGATCAAAATTCACACACTTGGCTGCTGACTCACAATCACGACAGTTGTAGCATCCTGGGGTCCCCGTGATCCCCTCTTGAGACCTTCTGACGGGCCAAGACAACGGGGAACTCAGATGCGCTTAACGACTGTGTTCCTAACTTAACAACCGTGGTGATTCGCTTAACGACTGCAGCGTGAAAGGGGCGTAAAACGGGGCAAAAGTCACTCAGCAGACATTTTGCTTAGCAACAGCAGCTTGGAGCTCAATTGTGGTCGTAGATTGAGGACTTGCGGCCCATTGTAACTTTGAACGGCCTTTAAACCGTCGATTGTTAAGCGAGGACTACCTCTCACGTCCAGCCCTCAAACCTGGTTGAAATGGGGCTAGTCCTCGCCTTAACGACCACTGCCGAGCTCCAACTCTCCACGGCTCAGGGCGGAAAATCCAGTCTCAAATCCCTTTTCTCAGCCCCCAGATGGTCGCTAAATGAACAGTTGTAAGTCGAGGACTCCCTGCACGCTCCCAGTAATAAAACAGGTGACGGCAGCAAACAGACATGGAGTGCAGACCAACCAAACACACACAGACACACACAACCTTTTGTTTCCCCGCGCAGGGACGCGCTCTCGATGGAAATGACCGACGACAACACCGCCCTGCGCGCCCTGACTCAGTTTCCGCTGCCGAAAAACCTCCTTGCCCAGGTCATCCAGATCGCCACCTCGTCTTCCACCGTCAAGGTGAGTCACGAATTTGAGCGGGATGCGTGTGCTTCGGGGGGAGCGCGTGGATTCCGGGCAAACCGGAGGATGCAAATCTGGGTTGTCGCTTCCACAGGAGTACATGCAGTTCCGCACCGTCGGCACCAAAACCAAGATCTGCAAACTGACCTTGCGCTGGCCCTGCCCTTTGACCTTCGCGGCCAAGGGTCGTCGCAAAGTGGAGGCGGAGAACAAGGCTGCCGCCTTGGCCTGTCAGAAGCTCAAGGTGAGCCCTCCCGCCAACCAGATGGAGAAGATACTATAGAGGCAGTGTTTCTCAACCTTGGGGACTTGAAGTCCACAGGACTTAAAGTCCCCACGGTTGAGAAACACTGCTATAGATTATTACAGAATTGTACATTACTAAATGTTACAGAATTGCTGAATGTTGCAGAATTACACGCTACTGAATTACCAAATATTAATGAATATTAACGGATTACCAAATATTGCACAGTATCCAGAATATCGCAGAATCGCAGAACGATACATAACATTACAGAATCGCCAAATATTTCCCTGATTTCTGGGGACTCCCGTATCCCCCTCCTTCCCTCCATCCAGAGTCTTGGTTTGGTCGACAAGAACAACAACCCGCTGAGCCATGCCATGTACAACATGACGTCCTTGCGGGAGCTGGGGGAGAACCAGAGGAAGCCCTGCCACATCAAAGTCCCCGAAGCCACGCTGCGCAAGATCGAGAACTACTTGAACCACGTAAGTCGGGCTGAGGGTCCCCAGCAGATGGTGAGAGGCACGCGATTGCAGGGAGTCCTTGATTTGGCGACCACATAGCCACCCGACATTTCCGCCAGGGGGCTACCTTTGCGAAGGGAGTTTCATCCCATTTTACGGCAGTTTACCCCACAGCGATTAGCCGCTGCGGTTGTGAAGTTAGCCGCGCAGCGTTAAGCGGATCCGTCTTCCCCGTTGGTCGCCAAAGGGGGATCCCACAATCCCCTTTGGATGCTGCGACCTTCGTAAATATGAGCCCAAGGCCTGGATTTTGATCACGTGAACACGGAGATGCTGCAGCGGTCATAAATGTGAAACACGCAGTCACAGTTTTCAGTGCCGTTGTAACTTGGGGCGGTCCCTCATTGAACTGTTGCACATCCAGATGGATGGATGGACGGATGGAGAGAGATGATAGAGAAAGATAGAAAGAAATAGGCAGATAGGTATGGATGGATTAGAGAGAGAGAGAGAGAGAGAGAGGAAGATAGGAAGATAGGAAGACAGACAGAAATAAATAAATAAATAAATAAATAGAGATGATGGACAGACAGACAGATCTGTCTGATGGATGGATGGATGATAGCTTGTGTATACATATACAAATCACCTGACTGGGGATATAATGATGGTTGTAAGTGTGAAAAACTAGCTTTTTCAGGGCGGTTGTAACTTCAAACAGTCACTAAACAAATGGTCGTAAGTCGAGGGTCACCTTTATTCAGGATGGAACAACCCCATCCTCTACCAGGCTGATAGCTCACTTGGGTGCCTTGCCATATTGCAATACGAAGCCCCCTCCTCCTTTTCTCCTCAGTACCCTGTTGACTCCCGGGACTCTCGACCGCCCCGCCTGACGGACGACGTGATGAACCTGAGCAAGGAGAGCAGCGGCAGCCTGAGCGACGCCATCACGGGCAAAACCTACATCCCNAGGAAGGAAGGAGGTGGGGAGTTAGGAAGAAAGGAAAGAAGGATACAAGAAGAAAGAGAGGGAGGAATTATAGGGAAGGGTGGATGGAAGGAAGGAAGGAGATGGGGAGTTAGGAAGAAAGGAAAAGAGGGGGAGAGGAAGGAAGGAAGGAGATGGATGGGTCCTCACTTTGCCAATCTTGGGAGGACGGAGTGCTGTTGTAACTGCAAATGGCCACCAAAGAAATGGACAAACCCTCGTTTGGCCACTGGCATGGATTTACGATCTGCCCTCTGGGGCATTCTGGAAGTCCTCCGGTCTTTTAAAGTTTGGAGACTCCCTTGCTGGACGGATGTTTCTTTCCTCCGGGTCTTTACTCCTCCGTGGTTTTACCCTCCCCCCCCAGGCCTGGTGAAGCAGTTTTCCGAGAACCTCTACGAGGCCTACCTAGTGCCGACTCCCTCGGACTGCCTCCTGCCCTCGTCTGTCTGCAACCAGCACAGCGAGGAGGAGGAACTGGTGAAGGGAGTTCTGATGGCCGGCCTGTACCCCAACCTCATCCAGGTGAGAGAGAGAGGGAGGTTTGCTTGCAGATTTTTCGTGATCCAACTAGGGGACATCATCAGTCCTAGAAGGGAAAGAGGTTGTTGGTGGAGGAGGAGGAGGAACAGACAGTGGGGTCTGTGGTCCTCTCTGAGCTTCTTGGTTTCCTTGCAGACATTTCATAACCCATGTTGGCTACAACATCAGTGCCAGAAGGATGTGGGGGGTTTGCTCTTATTTTCCTGTCCTAGAGGTGGCATCATGAGTGGGGTCTTTTCTGCGGAGGGTCCTTGTGGAATCTCATCTCTAGCTCTACTCCAGATTCCACCTCAAGGGGGGGCTCAGTGGCTTTGGCTAACGGGGGCCTTCGTTGAGAAACAGGGAGTCTTCCTCTTTTCCATCGAGGTTCCTGCAAAGCATGGGTTACCGCAGTGATGGCTAACCTTTTTGCCATCACGTGCCAAAAGCGCAGGGGAGGTCATACGCGGGCATGCCCACACCCATAATTCTATGCATGTGACACCCCAAATAGACCTGTTTTTCGCCCTCCATCAGGATCCAGAGGCTTTCTAGGATCCTCTGGAGGGCGAAAATGGGCTCCCTCTCCCCCCCCCCCCAGAGGCACTCCTTCAGGAAGTGTCAGGAGGGCCAAAAACAGCTAAAAACGAAGGCCAACACCTTCTGTATCCTAACAAATGGCTCTGTGTGCCACAGGTTCGCCGCCATCATGGGGCTACGGAGTCCTGTGTGGGAGGCCCTTCCGGTAACTTGGAAAAGGCCCCCCAAAATGTCCCTTTTCTTCCAGGTCCGGCAAGGGAAGGTGACCAGACAGGGCAAGTTCAAACCGAACAGCTACACGTACCGGACCAAGGCNGTCAAAAAATACTACCTGGAGGACATTATGTCCATGGTCGGCCGGCATCGTCACTACGAGATCAAGGTGGGCTCTGGAGCGATCAAAGGGGGCAGGCAGGAGACGGTGGGGACACCGCTCGGAAATGGGCAATCGAGAGGTCGATGTGGTTGCGTGGACGGACGGATGGTTAAATAGGCAGAGAGAGAAAGAGAGAGAGAAAAATAAGACAGGGAGAAAAATAAATACGGATGGTTGTATAGGTAAATAATAGATGAACCGATACAGATAGAGAGAGATGGGTAAGTAGACAATGGATAAATAGGAATAGAGATAAAAATACTTAGGGTAGATAATGAATCGACAGGGATAGAGAGTTACAAATAAAGACAGAAAGATACATACAAATGGATGGATAGTTGTAAATACACGTATATAGCTATCCGTGTCTAGCTTAGCGACATAAATATTGGACTCAATTTTGGTTGTAAGTCGAGGACTGCCTGTCCCATCTCTCTCCCACCCCCCAGCAATCGGATGATGAATGCATCGTGGACCTTGAGCTGATCGCTGATCTCGTCCTTCAGATCAATGCCCACGGCGAACCAGGTGGGTGGCCCGCTCCGTTCCCCTGTCACTCAGCCACAGTGGGGGTCTCCAGAGAAGGGGGGGGTCCCGCTTGGTTGACCACCTAGGACGCTGGCAGCAACCCGTATCAACCACCAGCGCCAGTCAGCGATACTTGTGAAAGATTTTTAAGTGTTTAGTTAACTGAATTTCATGTTTAATGAGTAAAAGAGATGATAGTTCATGCTTAATGAATAAAGTATATATAGTAATAAAAATAGCAATAAAGGAGAATATTTGTAGTTAGGGATTTAGATGAGGGATCCTCGTGCTCTCTCAGCTTGGTCATTTTCTTGCGAATGTTTCACGACCTGACTGTGTAAGATCATCAGGGGCAGAAGGGTGTGGGTTAGGAAGAGGAGGAAGGACTGTGGGGTCCCGGGTGCTCTCTGAGCTGGCTGGTTTTCTTGCAGACGTTTCACGACCCAACTAGGGAACATCATCAGGGCTAGAAGGAGAGGGGGGATTGTGTAGAAGAGGTGGAGGAGGAGGAGGACAATGACTGTGAGGTCGTTGGGGCCCTCTGAGCTTGGTGGTTTCCTTTCGGACCACCTCCTGGTGGCAAGGAGTTCCACTGGTTAATTTTGTCTCACTGCTTCGTCTCCTGCCTTCGGATGCTTTGGGGAAGAGGTGGAAAAAAACCTCCCTCTTCTTTGGGGCAGCCCCTCAAATATGGGAAGATTGCTTTCATGTTACTCCCTAATTCTTCCTTTCGTGAAACCGGAGGTGCCGTGTCCTCTCTTCACAGGTGGCATCCTCTGCTTCCTTCCGGGCTGGCAGGAGATTAAAGGGGTCCAGCAGCGTCTTTTGGAAATCCTGGGGTCTCACAACAGCCGCTACCTTATCTTACCAGGTGAAAAAGAGGCTAGCCCCCCGCCCTCCTCTTGCTCTCCAGGGTGGGCCTGCAGCCGAGGCCAACGAAAATGTTTCGGCCGTATCCGGCGTGTGCTATTAACTATAAAAGACAGGGTTCGTCCGGGTGAACGAGCGCCCGAGGCGGACGGTTGTGTTCATCTTCCTCCTCCTCCCACCCCCACCCCCGTTTTTTTTTTAGTTCATTCCAATATCCCAATGATGGACCAGCAGAGCATCTTCCCCCGGCCTCCCCCCGGCGTGCGGAAAATCGTCCTGGCCACCAACATTGCCGAGACCTCCATCACCATCAACGACATCGTGCACGTG